TACATCTTTGGATCGATCCTGCTCGATCCACGAATTTACATCTTCAGATCAACCCTGCTCGATTAAATGTTTATTACACCTTCAGATCAACCTTGCTCGATCCACGGATTTGCATCTTCGGATCGACCATACTTGATCCATGTAATTACGCCTTTAGATCGACCTTGCTCGATCCATGGATTTGCATCTTCAGATCAACTTTGCTCGATCAAATGTTTGTTACACCTTCGGATCGACCCTGCTCGATCCACGGATTTACACCTTCAGATCGACTATGCTCGATCCAACAGATTTACACTTTCAGATCAACCCTGCTCGATCCACGGATTTACATCTTTAGATCGACCCTACTCGATCCACGTAATTATACCTTCGGATTGACCCTACTCGATCCACGGATTTGCATCTTCAGATCGACCCTACTCTATCAAATGTTTGTTACACCTTCGGATCGACCCTGCTCGATCAACGAATTTACACCTTCAGATCGACTATGCTCGATCCAACGGATTTACACTTTTAGATCGGCCCTACTCGATCCACGGATTTGCATCTTCAGATCGACCTTACTTGATCCACGTAGTCACACCTTTGGATCGACCCTGCTCGATCCACAGATTTACATCTTTAGATCGACCTTGCTTGATCCACAGATTTACACCTTTGGATCAACCATGCTCGATCCAATGGATTTACACCTTCAGATAAGCCCTACTCGATCTACGAATTTGTATCTTCAGATCGACCCTACTTGATCCACGTAATCATACCTTCGAATCGACCCTGCTCGATCCATGGATTTACATCTTTAGATCGACCTTGCTCGATCAAATGTTTATTACACCTTTGGATCGACCTTGCTCGATCCACGGATTTGTTTCTTTGGATCAGCCCTGCTCAATCCATGGATTTGCATCTTCAGATTGACCCTACTTGATCCATGTAATTACACCTTCGGATCGACCCTGTTCGATCCACGAATTTACATCTTCAGATCGACCCTGCTCGATCAAATGTTTATTACACCTTCGGATCGACCTTGCTTGATCCACGAATTTGCATCTTCGGATCGACCCTGCTCGATCCACGTAATTACACCCTTCGGATCGGCCCTGCTCGATCCACGAATTTGCATCTTCAGATCAACCCTACTCGATCAAATGTTTGTTACACCTTTGGATCAACCCTGCTCGATTCACAGATTTACACATTCGGATCAACCCTGCTCGATCCATCGGATTTACACCTTCAGATCGACTCTCTCGATCCACGGATTTGCATCTTTAGATCGACCATGATCGATTTATGAATTTTTTACACCTTCGGGTTGACCCTACTCGACCTACAGATTTACCCTTTCGGATCGACCCTGCTCGATCCATGAATTTACACCTTCGAGTCGACTTTGTTCGATCCACAATTTCATCTCTGGATCAGTCTTGCCCGATTCGTGGATCCACACCTTCGATCGACCCTGCCCGATTTATGAAGCTACACATTCAGTCGGCCAGACCGAGTGAAGGGTTCTTACACCTCAAAATCGATAAGTCATCGACCCAACCCAACAGAGAGTTCACACGACTCAGCCACTAGGCTGCACCAAAATCAGAACACAAGCATACCACTCAACTCCACCATCCTCACTTACTAGGAACTAAGTATTGGACCTCCATTCTACTCGACCAACTGATCGACTCAACTCTACCATCCTCACTCTCCAAGAACTAAGTATTGGACCTCCACTCTACCCGATCGACTGACCGACTCAACTCCATCATCCTCACTCCCTAGGAACCAAGTATTGGATCTCCACTCAACCCGACCGACCGACCGACTCAACTCCACCATCCTCACTCCCTAGGAACCAAGTATTGGATCTCTACTCTACCCAACCGATTGACTGATCGACTCAACTCCACTATCCTCACTCCCCAGGAACCAAGTATTGGATGTCCACTTTACCCGACCGACCGACCAACCCTAAACTCCATCATCCTTACTCCCCAGGAACCAAGTATTGGATCTCCACTCCACCCGACTGACCGATCGACCGACCGACTCAACTCCATCATCCTCACTCCACAGGAACCAAGTATTGTATCTTCACTCCACCCGATCGACTCAACTCCACCATCCTTACTCCCTAGGAACCAAGTATTGGATCTCCACTCTACTCGACCGACCGATCGACTCAACTCCACCATCCTCACTCCCCGGGAACCAAGAATTGGATCACCACTCTCCCTATGCCACCGACCGACTGACTGACTGACTTGATCTTTTTAAACTTTGACTATCACCACTCACCCCACCCCATGCCACCGATCAACACACAGACTTAACCTGTCTAAAGATTCAATCGCCCTTCCTACTCGACCGAGCCAACACATTGCAACAGGCTGGCTCCCGCAACGAAACCAACACTCCCATGCTTCACGTCCAAGAGATTCTCCCAATTAGGGCGATTGGCTAGGAGCAGTCTAGCACTTGTTCACCTTCAAGGCGATCAAGCCAAGAGGCCTCACCCATTCGGTCTTCCATAGCGGACGAGTGGGCAGCCAAGGGTCAAATGTTTGCGCATTTTGTTTGGCCCTTTGGCATCCAGTAAAAAGCGCTGTGGAATTAGAAGTTCAAGTCTTACGGTCTAACAAGCCGACCGAGCCGATTCCATCACACTCGATCACCCGAGTACCCTAACCGAACAAACCTTTAATTTAACATCGTCTCTAACTCATTCGACCCAGCATGCCGAGCGGATACCCTTGTCATGGGATTTTAGTTCACTTCTCCAGTCGGCAGGACACACCAAACGAGCACGTGAGCCCTAGAAGTTTCGTTATCTTAGTCCCTTCGACCCTTCACACCGATCGGGCACACCTTCTTGGGGTGATTTCACATTCTGGATCAGCTTTGATACCGAGCGACCCTTGACTACGAATCACCTACATCAAACTAGTCAGCCAAGCCGACAATAGGCCATCCAAGAAGGGAGACCGAGCGCCCCTCAATCGCTTCCTACTCTCTGACTTAAGAAAAACTTAACTCAGAGAGTGGGAGGCAAACTGTTAGGGCCAAAAATCGTCCTTGGCCCAAATAGGAGAACATGACTGAATGAGGAAGAGACCAGGCCCAATCCCGATGTGGCCCCATCTGGATTAGGCCCATTTGATACGAGATACAGTCGGTCCAAACCATCGGGTCCGGGACTCCAAATCCCAGTTCACTTCCTGAACCTATGAGCAAGTCCAGAGCCCACGGCACCCACATATCACTTTCTTATTCCAGATCAGTCTCCTATTCAAGGTTACCTTCCTGTTCAGGTCACTTTCCTACTCGAGGTTACTTTCCTGTTCGGGATCACCTTCCTATTCGAACACTGGTAAGACAGCTCACCACCGCCCTAATTCCTCTAGGGTTTGTATCAGAGTCACACTAGGACTCCTACTCCCACCATGACTGGGAGACCAGACAGTCACTATATAAGGAGAGGTCAGCCCTCTCACAAGGGATTTAGATTACATTACACCCTCACACCTGAAGCTCCTACTTGAGAGCTTCACATCACTGCCGTAGTCACAGTCTCCGACTAGACTTCCGGTAACATCTCTACTCCCTAGCCCTCACTATACTAGCCTCTTTCAGCTTTGCTGACTTGAGTGTCGGAGTGCCTACGGCAAACACCACCCCGGTATTTTCCGTTCGCTTCACGCTTGTTTCTCTACGTGTGCAGGTACAACGGATCGCTAGTGGTCTCAATCTCACGGGATCAGACCCCCCTTCCGTACTGGTAGATTTTTACCTCTACAATCATGAATGAATATGGTAGTTGTATGGATAAGCCTTGTAAAACTAATGACTAGTAAGGGAAAGGAACCATTCTAGCGATCAATAGTTTAAATAAAAATCGCACTCTAAAGTAAAGTAGATGATAAGCATCGGAATATTAAATTAGTGTAACAATGACACCTAATGTTTTAAAAATTAATCTCACCTAACCCATATATGATTAAAAATATTAACTTATTGTAAAAATCACACCTAATGTTCACCGCCCAATAAGTCTAGGACAAGTCGAAAAGGCCAAAGGTAGGGTGTTTTCTAAGAAAAGAGATGGAAGCAAAAACAGAAGGTAGGGCATCTTCATGGAAACGAGTGCAAAGTGGAGATCTATAGGCTGTTTGTGTTTTTGGTCTTATGTCTGTTCATCATATATAATCAAAAAGCCATATTAATTTGTTGTTATTTGAATATAAAAAATTTAAATTAATAACAAATTTTTTTCTCAATAATACTCTATCAAATTTATGATAAAATAAACTAGTGATAACTGTTGAAACTCTAGTAATTGGGCTTCTTTATTTTTTAAAATTAAAATAGAAATGTGAGGTGATATAAGAAAAATAAGAAAACGGGGAGCATCTTCTGGGAAAAATGATGAAAGTAGAAATGTAGAGAAAGAACCCATTAATTGCTAATTCACATTTCCAAGTCAAGTAAAAAAGTGACAAAAGGCAACAACGCATCTTCCAGGAGAAAAAGATATTGCAGAAACTGAAAGATAGTGGAAGAGAAAGTCAATTTTATGCTGTTTTATTTTCCCTTTAATTATTTCATCAATAAATTTGTTTTATTGATTGATTTTTTGTTGTTAATTTTGTAAGTATTCGAAACTGATATTGTTAATTAATTCACTTCCAATGAAAACCCAGTTTCAAAATTTTTGATTGCATGTTTGAAATTGTTGGGCCCCATCTCAATTTCATGATTACAAAGACAAAGTTAGCAGCAAATTGTAGAAGGGTATATTAGGAATTCAACAAAATTGTAATGATTTTTAAACTTTTGGTTGTAAGGAACCACACCAGATGTGAATGGCTTATTAGGTGTTTGTTGGGTTGCAATTATGAGTCTATTATACTATGAGGCGGCATCTATATTATGTCTTGGTTTAGCTCCTTATGTTTTTGTTAATATGAAGTAATTCTCATCATTGGAAGTTAATGGCTTTTCCTTCTTCCTCTTCTCCTCAAGGAAAGTATGATGTTTTTCTTAGTTTCAGAGGGGCGGATACCCGCAATAATTTTACTTCCCATCTGTATGCTGCCTTGTGTCAAAAAAAGATCAATGCATTCATTGATGACGAAGAGCTTGAAAGAGGGGAGCAAATCTCTCCATCTCTTTTGAATGCAATTGAGCAATCAAAGATTTCATTGATCATTTTCTCAAAAGGATACGCTTCTTCGAGATGGTGTCTTGAAGAACTTGAAAAGATTCTTGAATGCAAGAACAATAATGGTCAAATTGTAATGCCAGTCTTCCATAATATAGATCCCTCAGATGTCAGGAGTCAGAATGGGACTTTTGGGGATGCATTTGCTGAGCATGAAGAGCAGTTTAAGGGTAGGCAGGATATGGTACAGAGATGGAGGATAGTTCTGAGAGATGCTGCCAATCTATCTGGCTTTGATTCAAATGTCATCAGGTCACTGTTAGTAGCTATTATTATGCCTTTTGTATGCATAATACTTATTTTCTTAGACGAAACAACGACAATATTATTGATTGATAATATAATTACCAAAAAGTGAACAAACTGTGCACAATCATATTATTAAATTTATAGATGGGATTCTTCATTTTAATTAAATTTGCATTAATCATTGGTTGAACTATTTAATATTTTGTTAATTATATATAAGTTAGATTATTGTTTTATACTGAGGAGATGTTTGTATGCAAAAAATCATAGTCTTTTTTATCTCCTTGGAAAGGAAAAAAAAAAAAAAAAAAAAAATATAACGAGAACCAATAATTTGAAGTTAAGAAAGAGTGGAAACATGAAAAGAGATTGATTTTCATGACAATCTTGTAAGTTTATTCTTTATTATTTTTTTAATTTTTTATAGGAGGGCTAACCTAGGTGATATTCTAGTAATTCTACCCTCTGTTACTATTTAAATATGATGTCATTTGATAGCAAATTACCAATTCGTTTTTCCATTAAGCTATATTTTTATTTAATTGATGTAATTTGAGCTTGAAATTCATTATTCGAGAGATCTCATCGAGTAGCATAACTTTCATTGTTGTTTTTTGCATTGAGATATGGCATATAAATACTTCAAAGTAATTAATATATTGTTAAGGAATATGCAAAGGTTCAAACTCGATTTGATCTCAAATTTTGTTGCCATTGGTCTCATATCCGAGGATGGAATATCTGCACTCCCTTGCTTTTATTACCTTCATTGAGATTCATTTATTGGACTATGCATCTAATTTGAGTTTTGTTCTTTTTTTGTCTTTGTTTCTTTTCATATTTGGTAGGTCTGAGTCTACACTTGTACAGAAAGTTGTCGATGATATTTTGGAGAAATTGAATGAGGACTCTCCTTTAAGTGAAAACAAGAACCTAGTTGGAGTAGATTCTAGAATCGAGTATATTGAACGACTCTTATGCATTGGGTTTGCCGGTGTTCGCAAGATAGGAATTTGGGGTATTGGTGGAATAGGTAAGACCACTCTTGCTAAAGTTGTATTCAATAAAATCTATAGACATTTTGAAAGCTATTACTTTGCTGAAAATATAAGAGAAGAATCAGAGAGTAGCAAGGGACTGGCTGATTTGCACCAAAAACTTATTTTTGAAATTTTAAAAGATAGACATGCCAATATAGGATCCAACTTCAGCAAAAGAAGGCTTGCCTGCAAGAAAGTTCTCATTGTTTTTGACGATGTGACAAATTCAAAGCAAATAGAATCTTTGATTGGACAATTTGAGTTTGGTTCAGGAAGTCGATTCATGATAACAACAAGGGATAGACAAGTACTAGAAAATTGTGATGTGGATGGCATATATGAGACTAAAATATTATCTGATGATGCAGCTCACCAATTGTTTAGTCGATATGCCTTTAGACAAGAGTGTCCACCAGAAGAATTTAGGAAGCTAGCTCAAAGGGTGTTATCATATGCTAATGGTGTTCCACTTGCTCTTATAGTTTTAGGTTCTTTTCTATTCAAAAGAACAAAGGAAGAATGGGAAAGTGAACTAGAAAACTTGAACATCAATGATCATATGGAAATTCATAAGGTGTTAAAAGTAAGTTATGATGGATTGAGTGAAAATCAGAAGGTTGTATTTTTAGACATTGCATGTTTTTTTAAAGGGTATGAAAGAGATCTTATAGAAGCAATCTTGAATGCCCATCATTTCGACTCCCATATTTATATAAATGTTCTCATTGAAAGGTGCCTCATAACTACATCGGTCAACATCATCACAATGCATAATTTGCTTCAAGAAATGGGTAGAGAAATTGTTCGGCGAGAATCAATTGATGATCTTGGCCGACGTAGTCGGTTGTGGGATCATGAGGATATCTTGAAAGTATTGATCAAAAATAAGGTGAGAGCCAAAGGCTTTAATTTTTTTTTTTTTTTTTCTATTTTATATATGAGATATTATAAAATATTAGCTTGCAGAATATTCATCACAGTTATCATTGGGAACTTACTCAATTGGTAATGTGATTGGGTGGGAATGAGACATGTCTTATATTAACGTATTTCAAAAAGAAATTTGAAAAGATAATGTATTGTATGAGAGTTAATTACTTAACAATTTATGTAATTATGCAATTTCATACTAACTTATCATCAATATATCTGTTGTTGATTATTAGGGGAATGAAGTTATTCGAAGCATGCGTTTGAATATGTCTAAAGTATCGGAGTTACATTTAAAGCTTGAAGCTTTCAAGAACATGCAAAATCTAAAATTCTTGGAAGTTGATGGCCGCGAGTATGATAAGAAGGTGCCTGGTTTGGAAGTCCTTGAATCAGATTCTTGTTTGCTGGGCCTCAACATATTCAAGCCTTGTTTTGAATGGTTTTTAAGGAAGTTCTTTGAAAATAATAGCTCCAAGCATGAAGAGAAGTTGCATGGTTTTGAGGTCCAGAAATCTGATTTCTCTGAGCTACGGTACCTTCGCTGGGATGGATATTCTGCCAACTCATTGCCACCAAATTTTAATCCAAAGAACCTTGTTGCACTCTACATGTGTTTTAGCAAACTTAAACAACTTTGGAATAGTGACCAGGTATATGTTAACTTTTATATTGTCATTTTGTGCTTTAAATTGTAAGTATCTGTATGTTATTTTTGTTGTTTTAATTCATTTAATTTTATTTTTCGTTACAGAAACAAAATCTTGGTAATTTGAAACATATTGACCTCAGTTACTCCCAGCATCTACGCAGAATGTCAAATCTCTCATTTACCCCAAATCTGGAGAGCTTGATTCTGGAAGGTTGTACAAATCTACGTGAGAGTTTCTCTTGTATGCATAATCTTAATAATCTTGTTCTCTTGAATCTACGAGAATGCAAAAACATGGACATGCTTTCAATCAGCCCACAGTGTAGATCTCTTCGGAAAGTTATTCTCTCTGATTGCTCAAATTTGAAATCAATTTCATATATCTCTTGTGCGATAGAAGAGTTGTACTTAGATAGAACTGCAATTGAAGAATTGCCATCACTAGAGCATCTATCTAGACTAAGATTATTGAGTCTTGAGTACTGTTCGGAGCTTAAGAATCTCCCTGAGACTATTCACGGGTGCAAATCTCTTGAATATCTTTCTCTTTCATATAGTTCAAAACTTGACAGATTGCCTGAGGGCTTGGGAAATTTAACAGCACTGAAGAAACTTAAACTCGAGGGAATTTCTGTAAGAGAAGTACCGCCGTCTATAGCTTGTTTGAACAACCTTGAGACATTCTCTTTGAAGAGATGTACGATTGAGAACCCACTGAGTTTGCTACCACATGATTCATCTTCCTTGAACAAACTGAAGGAGCTAGATTTGGGTGACTCTTGTATCAAAGAGTTACCCAGCAATCTTGGCCAATTACGCTATCTGCAAGATTTATGGATAACAGGAAACAGTTTTGAGAGTCTTCCAGGGACTATTAAAGATCTCTCTAACTTGAGATTGCTTAGTTTAGACAATTGCCAGAGACTTAAATCCTTACCGGAGCTTCCACAGCAGTTAACATCTCTACGAGCATGCCGCTGCATTTCACTTGAAGAAATATCAGGTTTACCAACTAGTGGCGTAGGCATGTGGGATTGGGTGAATATTAACTTCAACAATTGTTACAAACTGAAATTACATGCAAAGGATCTACTCAATATTCAGAGAGATGCAATTCTATGGTTTCACAGTAAGGTAAGTCTTCTCTCTCATTTTCTCTCTTTTCATATGATATTAGTTTTTTTTTTTTTTTTTTTCCTTTAAAAAAATAGTTCTCTGATATTAAGCTATCGATTTCACAAGAGATGATTTATTGATTAACTGTAGTCAAATCAAATACACAATAAGAGATTTTTATTGATTTATTTTATTAATTTTTAATTATTAAAGCTTTAATATAATACTAAATTTCTAAGTTCACACATAATATAATATTAAAAATTATTTTTTATTCAGTTTTACTAAAAATTATTAAACACCAATATACAGATTTTTTTATATTGTATTTTTAACTATGTGTGTACTTAACAAATAACAGTTAAGAATACTTAATTGGCCGCAAACAGTCCTACCCTAGATTCTTGTAGTGCCCAATGCTTTTAAAACCGGATTGCCCCTTGAGCGGTTCAAGGTCTATAGTTAGTATAAAAATAGAGAATATATTTTCTTTTTCCCAGAATAACAGACTTGGAGATTGTGTAATGTTTACTCTCAAATCTTTGTTTACACCCACTTGTTTTATCCAGTACAATCACACACATATTATGTCTCTCTCCATTTGTACATACAGTATATATCAAGGGAGATTGCAATTTGATGATCTTCTTGATACAGGAAAGAGAATTCAAAATGTTAGAGGAACAGAAGGAACAAGATAGCCTTTTAGAGGAACTTTGCTTTCTACGCGGTACCATATTTTACCCTGGAAGCGAAATTTCAGATTGGTTTAACTGTATAAATAGTGAAAATTTTATAAAGCTTCCAACAAGTTGCCTCAATGATAACTTCATCGGCTTCGCTTTGTGTGTTGTTTTATCATCTCCATACACAGGAGATTTGGAACGCACTTATCTTGAAGCTAGATTTAAGCTTTTTGTTGACGAGAAGCTCGTTTTCTATGGCTCACTCTGTAATCAATATACAAACAATTTTGTTTTTAAATCAGATTTAGATTATGTAATCATAGGATACGATTACAGAATTATGCCCTCTAAATTGCTTCCACTCAATTCCAATAGCGAGTGTTTTATTAAGTTCTCAGTTGATGATAGATCTCTTCCGTTCAAGTTGAAAAAGTGTGGAGTCAGATTGTTCTACGCCGAAGATAATGATTTGAGAACAGATGCAAGAGTGGACAAAGACCAGAGATTGAAATCTATAAATGAATCCGAGGATGACTGCATATAAAAAGGCTAATGTAAGTGGACTCAAACATTGAATTC